CAGCCTGTCCAGGTCCCTCTGGACCTTAATGGCGGTAGTGTTGTAAAGGTGGCATGATTCAAAAGCTGAATGGTCAACTACATGTCTTGGAAAAGATAGACCTCTTTAGAACTGCTGCGTAGTGCAAAGAAACTAGGAGGAAAGCTAGAGCTGGGTTAGGACACTGGTATATATGTCTTAGGAGACTGGCTCACAGAACAGTCTGGTGCCTCTGAGCCTCACTATCTGAATTCAAGGGGTTCTATAGCTAACACCATTGCAAATAATATAACAGTTTATTAAATGGAGAAAAGAATATGACCTATCAAGATAAAAATAAATGTCCACTGAAGACCATGGCATTTGAAAATGCATTATAATTGATCCTGACTTGGGACTTGTGTTTGGAAGAACTAGCTGTCAGGTGCGTGGTCTCCCTATCAGGAGGTTCCTTAGGGGTTATTTGTTAATGATCCTATGTGTAAGCTTCTGAAAAACACAGCGGAGTACCTATTCTTTACTGGATTAGTGGGGACGATGCTAGCCTGAACTTCCAAGATGAAGAAAGGATCACGTGTTCAGGGTCTTAGTGGATTTGTTGAAAGCAAATTGTTTATCTCGAGATTCTGATGTCTTAAGAGATTTCAGAATGTCATCAGATAGCCTAACCTCTGCTTTTTCACTTAGGCTGGTGGGCTTTTTGGTACACTGACATTTTAAAGTCAGTCTTTTCTGTTGCTTAGAATAGGCTACTTTGCTGGCTGCTGCGTGGGTTTTTGTGTGGTTCCAGGAGGGCAGGTGAGTTGATACAGCTGACGCTGCATAACCCAGGAGTTGTGTATGGAGTGTTCACAGCTCTTGCTTATGTCCTGAGTAGCAAAAGCCCCATCCTTTAGTTTCTGGAGACAGTTGTTGCATAGTGACAAAAACTGAATATCAGAAAATTGTTATGATGTATCGTGCTTTTGCCAAACATGTCAACTTGTTAATAGATCCTGTGTTAGGATGTGGTGTGGCTTTTATGTCAGTGTTAAATGACAGAACCCTTTCTGAAATACTCTTCAGTCTTCAGTGCTGTCGTCAAGGACCTGCATCAGTAAACTGGAAGGTGCAGAGAACAGAACAAGAAATTAGATGGTTTCACCTTCTCAGTAGCTAGAACGTTGGGAGTATTACTTCCACTGTAAGGTAAACTAGCTGTGGAGTGTCAGCATCCTTGTGTCTCGGTTTTCCTGCCCTGGGGGTCTCTACTAGTATAACATGCTAGAAAACGAAGTTTATAGGAGCAGATACTAGGAAGACTGACTGCCACCCAGTGTCCAGTGAGTGGCATCTAATGGTAGTTCTGCACTGCAACAAGTAGCCTGAGGAGTTCTGGCATCTCCTGTGAAAGATCATGAGTGTGTTCTGTAAATATCTGCTAGAAATGGTCTAAATCTTCTTGGCTTGCCTTAAACTAGAGGATGGATTATCTCATGGCTTCTCCAGTGGCTTTCTAAAACATTTCTCACTTGTTTTCCATACTGCCCTACTTGTAGGGAAGGGTGAGGAGCAAGGAATTAAAAGGATTTGTTACAGTCTCCAACCCCTGTAGAAGTAGTAATGTGAATACTTATCTGGCATATTAAAATGTTTTTATCCAGTCTGTTTAGACTCTGTAGCTGACAGTTGTGCTATCTGTTTCAGCCCCATAAAATACTCTTAAGAGCGAACGAGGCTTCTCCTTGACGGGTGTTCAGATACGATTATGAAACTCGGTATGCGTTTGTTGGTGATTATTCTGGACAGATCACTCTCCTGAAGCTTGAGCAGAATACATGCTCGGTTATCACAACTCTCAAAGGGCATGAAGGTAAAGTAACTCTTCTTAATTCCGCTTGACCCAGATTATAGTTCCTCTTTCTAATTTGGGATGAGGCGTTCAGTTGGATGCCTACCTCTTAAGGATGGATATTGGATTAACAACTAGTTATCAGAAGCTGTTCAGTGATGTACATATGACTGTCTCTTACAGAATAGACACATTCTTGCTGAGGGGAAATCTTAGCCTTAGGAATACTGACAGGTATTTTTATTATAGATGAGCAATGAAGGTAAACGTGCACTTCCTTGAAGACAAGCTGTCCACTAGATGGCCACCTTTAGAAACTTTAGTCTCCTTAACTTTGAAAAGAAAGGGCGAGAATGTGTTGGGTTTTTTTTCTGGAGACCTTGTAGTACTATAATAATACCTACAGCAGCTTTAGCAACCCCCAGTCTAAATTCTAAAAAGCCACTTAATCATTCCCAATACACTCTGCTGTTCTGATCAGTCTTCATGAGTCTCTAGTTCAGTTTCCTGTGTTTATCCAAAACTAAGCTGTATACAAGAAATTTAGAGAGCCTTTTAGAATCAAAACTGTCTAGTCAGAGACAAATGCCTCATCCTCTGTAGTGCAGCTGAAGTGCTTTTATCAGATGAAGAACCAAATCGTCTGTGGACCTGCTGTCTGCTGTATTAAGGCAAGAATGCATGTCACAGAAGAATGTGCCATTTAATAACATGCTGAGAGAAAAACAAGACTTAATGCCTCTTCCCATGTATTGCTGGCAACTTTCAAATCAGCTGACTAGTTTGCATTTGGGGTCCTAAGTCTCTGACCCACTGGAAAGGGCTGCCTTGTTCAACAGCTGGATGTACAGAGCAGACTTTGTTAGAGCTGGGTAGACGCCTGGTTTACAGATGACTGTAAAATGATAAAGCTGCCTTTGAGGGAGGCGAGTTGAGATTTTGAAAATGATAAACGCTTCTGCTTTCAAGCAGAATTTCACATTGTTTCAGTTAAGAGCAAAATAATCCTCCTGGCCCTCGAGACTCCTGTACCTCTATGCTTTTGCACTAGTCTGTGTTAAAGTGCGACTCCTTGACAGGTATTAGTCTGAAAGCAGGATGTCTCGGCGTGGCACTGCCTGTAGTGCCTGTTCTATCTGTGGAGCCGCAGCGGGCTTCCAGGCACCATCTTCAGCAGTGATGTCCACCTAGCAGACAATTTTGGCTTATATTTAAGTTCCCTAAGGGCACTGTGATACTCAGAACAAGAATTGATCTAGTATTGAAGTTGATTAAATCTGAGGGGTCAAACCAGGTTTTTCTTCAATAGGTGCAACAATAGCTCCTTCATCTTCCCCACCCCCACCTTTTTTTTTTTTTTTTTCCTTTAGCAAAACAGATGATGTGTAACCTTTTTGCCCCCACGATATTTGTGTAATATTCTGAAGGCCTGGTAATTCTAAACCTCAGTGGCCTCTAGTTCTTCTCTGAGTGCAGCTGTGTTTGCCAGACTTCAAAAGTCTGACTTCACGTTGTTCCCTTCCTAACTCTGACTTCATAAGCAAGCAGGGTTTGCTTTGTAGCTTAAATGGTTTTGGAACTTGTTCTTCAACAGTCAGCTTCCAGAACGCTCTGTATTTAACAGCCCACTCTCTGCAGTGCTGAGGTAATACTCAAGCTGCCTGTAATGGTGTGGATGGTCGCTGTTCTCTCGGAGACAGCTGTTTCCAAATGGGCGAGTCTGAAATCAGTGCAGCCATGAAGAAGGCAAGAAACACTGCTTGCTCCAGAGAGCTGGAAAGGACTGATTTGGGCTGTAATTAGCATTCGTCTTGCTTTCAGACTAACAAGGCGTTTGATGATAACTGGGCAATGGAAGGATGCTTTAAAGGGACGGACGTCCATAAGGGAATAAAATGTTCCTGCCTCTTCAAAACTGTAGGCAGCATGAGTGACAAAATGACTTCTTTAGTCTCCTGTCTCCATTACCGTGCACGTGGGTTTAGTGTAAGACTGCTACTGTCAGATGGCTCATTTCTTTCTGTCTGACTAATGAGGTGCACAGTCCGAGCAGGCCTTCTGAAATCTAGTTGTGTAATTCAGTATGTAGTGCCCTGATTTGCGAGCAGCAGGGAAACTGTCAGTTTCTTATTCCAAAGATTTTAAGGTTGTAAATGGTTATGTAAGGGAGTTGGTTTACCTGTGAACATGGTGCTGTCCTGCACCCACTGACCAAGCACCTTAACGTATTGTAGTACTGGTCTCTGCTTGGCAAGTTTTAGTAGTTTTCATCTTCTAAAGATCACATGTCAGTCTGATGAGACTTACCAACTGTCTAAATACAGTAACGCAAACCTTCTGGCTTGTTCTTTGCATCTAACTTTCTTCCCAGGGATGTTTTGTTCTGTTGTCAAATGCTCTTTGCCTCTCTAGCATGTTGCATGCTGTCCTTTGCCTTAAGGCTTCCCATATTTGTTACCATGGTAAGGGAATACCTCAGGTTTCACTTTAATGACCCAGAAGAGCATCGTTGCGTTGGTGAGCGAGTCCCTCAGCTCTAACTACAGAATGTTCTTTCCTAGGAAGTATTACTTCCCTGTGGTGGGATCCTGTTCAACGCCTGCTCTTCTCCGGTGCCTCTGATCACAGCATCATCATGTGGGATATTGGTGGAAGAAAGGGGCGAACGCTGCTGCTCCAAGGACATCAGTATGTAATGGTGTCTTATTTTCTCCTCCATGTTCTGCAATGAGTACAGAGTCCCAGGAAGACTAAATAGCATGGCAAGATAGTGGAATCTTTGTGAATAATGGAGGAAATAACTTTTTGCAGAACTCCTCAGAAAACTTTGAGAGGGAAGAAGGATGACCAGTACTAGGAAAGTGTTACTGATAAATCTTTCATTTTTTGCTCATGTTTGATACTTCTAAACTGTAGGTAATGAGGATATAACATAAAAGTAGGTTATAGAGGTGGGTGAGAATCATGTCATCTTGCTTGCACTCTGATGTAAAGTTACATGCTTCTGTACTGTAAATACTTCACTGAGTTGCCTGTGAGGATGAGGCTAGAAACTGAATGTCTAAGCAAGTTCGTGTACCCGTGCAGGACAAGCTTCGGTATGTTCCTGTTCTGTCTCTGTCAGTGAGGTGATAAACTGATTGGCTGAATTACAGGGGTGGGGCTGTAGTCTTCAGGAAAGCATGTCACATCTCCACTGTAATGTGGATTAGGTAGCTAGTTGCCTGTATTTAATCAACTCGTTATTTTTACAGAGCCACAACACTAGCTGCCGTTTTTAAACCTAGGGCCTTAATTCACTCCGACAGGCAGGTCACCATTGAAGTTGTCTTCTACTTAGGAATGCAGTGGTAGTAGAGATCTTTTTTATGCTTGAAGATACATTTGTGTAGTGCATTCTCCTCTTGTCTAATTCCGTAGATGCCTCCACCCACCTTTGATCAAAACTCATAGCCTTAGCCCTAGAACTCTTGTTAAATCTTGAGGATTTAGTTTTATGGCTAAAGAACTACTAACAGAGCACTGGTTACAAAAAAGTAACTGATGTCCATGACTGGAGGACTTTATACTGCTGTTACTGCTGCATCATGTGTCCTGGTGAAGACTTATAACACTTTAGTTTCTCTTCAAACACCACACTTAGCATCAAACTTCATACTGAATGGGAAAGTAAGTTCTTCTGAGAAGCAGAACGACTTTTGTAATTCAGCTTAGGTCTTGCAAAGCAGTCTAATACTTGAGATACTTCGTTTAGTTTTTAGGGTAGGTTTTTATTTTGCCATGACTTTATTTAGGATTAAACTGTCTTATTGGGGAATGCATGCATTGATGTGCAGCTACAGAGTGACTTACTGTGATTTGTTAGCAAAAGTGGAAGCTGTCTGCTTCCTTGCTATATCTTAAACCAAATATCTCTCTTAATTTTTCCAGTTGTCTTTGTTTTGATAACTGGCTCTCCTTGCCAGCACAGAAGAGTATTTGCAGGCACACCCTGAGCCAGTTGACACTGAGCTTGCTGTTGGTGCTTACTGCCAGCAAATGTTCATGTGGAACTGTACCTCTGGTATTCTGGCCACGCCTGTAAGAACGCTGTTCTAGGCAACATCCTGATGCTAGGGGAGTGCTTGTGTGACAGCATCTGTTCACTCATCTTCTTAGCTCTACTTAGTAGACTCTAGAATAAAGTGTTTGGAAGTCCGTTTTGGCTTCCTAGGTAGCTTTACAAGGATAAATTGGTGTTTGCTGGGAAACAGCTCTGTTTAAATACCTATGGGTAAATAGTGTCTACTTTGTTTGCAGTGACAAGGTGCAGGCTATCTGTTACATCCAGCTGACGAGGCAGCTGGTATCTTGTTCAGCTGATGGGGGAATTGCTGTTTGGAACATGGATATCAGCCGAGAAGAGGTAAGATCATGTCCTAGGTCAAAGTGGTTGGTTGGTTGTTTTATTGTTTTCCCTTTTCAGAGGCTGATGTGACTTTGATTAGTCAGTTCTGCAGGCAGTTTTCCTCGTGTTGCCTGAAACTTGAAGGCTGAATGGTATTAAAACTTTGTCTGCTCTACTGGCTCTCTACACTGCATTGTTGTAGATGGAGTCATGGGACAGAAGTGCAGGACAGGCATGGGACTGCTTAGAGCCTTATCTCAGTGAGACATGTTCACCGGAATGGCTACCGCCGTTGCTGCTGGAACACTCGAAAGCAGGCAAGCCTTTGCAGCAAAGAAACCAATAGACTGTGCTTCAGCAGTCGTGAGAAGTTCTCGACTCCTGTCAAAACTGGTAAAGAAGCGAGATGTTGGGTTTCAGATGCGGTGCAGAATGTAGAGATTCAGTCCCCAGACAACAATTTTTTTATTTTTTCTTTTTAAAAACCTCAATACACAGCAACTGAGCTTGCCATGCAAATTTTTCTGCATCAGTTTCTATCCACTGTAGGAGCTGAAAAGATGTATAATACTACTATCTTTGGTTAAACCATAATTACAGGAGTTAGTTTTGGTTGCCCCCATAAAGCCTGCCCTGTTGCTTTTCCTTAGATGCAAGTGTCATGATGACTTGTTTCCTGACACGCGTTGAGCTGTCACCTTAAACACATGGAATGCTGGATGTGACGTTTTCAGCATGATGATCTCTCTTCAAAACTTCTGTGATATTATGAATCTTTGTAGTAGCAAGGAAATTACTTATAATACAATTGGGAAAACAAGATGTGGCTGTTTCTCTTCTGGATCTGTATGCAGTAATTAAGGAACATTCTAAATAATAGACAGTTTTAATACCATCACAATAATACGGCTGACTTAGACTAGCTGTGATGTCTCAGCACTCACTGGAAAAACGTAAGCCCAGTCCAAAAGCAAAGAAACAAAATGTTTGAAGAATGATGAAGGTACTGCCTCTGAAGTATTAGCTAAGGAGTTGCGTTACAGGGTATCTTCAAATATGTGCTACTGCATGTAAGACTAGGAAACAGCCTTTTTTTGATTAAAAGGACTGGTAACTCCACTGACAGCTGTACTGTTGAACATGGGCAGTTCAGCTGTATGTTGGTAATAGTGTTGATAGGAGGTAGAAACCTGACAACACTATTTAATGCCTGAAATTAAGATGAAAATAATAGAAAGTTATCCTGGTTTTGTAGCCAGAAAGTGGATTGTCCTCTCAAAAATGCTGTCAGGTGAAAACTGTTACTGTAAGTAACTGTAAGAAGCAATATGGAACATCTCACTTGGTGGAGAGACAACCTATTTCCTCTACTCTCCTCCACCTCCTGACACGCTGAACTTGTTACTACCCTTTACAGTAGTTTCCACTAGCATGGGGGAAGGAAGGTGATGCAATCAAGCTTGAAGATGGACATCTTCATCAGGGCCTACAAGGAAGCTGGGGAGGACTTTTTACAAGGGCCTGTAGTGACAGGACAAGGGGGAATGGGTTTAAACTGAAAGTGGGGAGGTTTAGATGTCAGGAAGAAATTCTTCCCAGAGAGGGTGGTGAGGCACTGGGACAGGTTGCCCAGAGAAGCTGTGGATGCCCCATCCCTGGAAGTGTCCAAGGCCAGGCTGGATGAGGCTTGGAGCAACCTGGTCTAGTGGAAGGTATCCCTGCCCATGGCAGGGGGGTTGGAACTGGATGATCTTTAAGGTCCTTTCTGACCCAAACTATTCTGTGATCTGGTATTAATAAATACTCATGTGAGATGGTGGTGCAACTGCCAGTACTATTGTTTTATTACTATTAACAATGGATGTGAGTTGAAAAGAAAAGCTGCTTTGTTGTTCCAGCTTTCCTCTTGCTGGGTTTCAGGGACACTCCCCCCATAAAGTTGTAGAGAATATACATGTTCTCATTCAAGTTTGTGTACTAAAAATATTGTGCCTCTCTTTCTATCCCTTACAAGGATGCTTAATTAAACTGTCTGAGAGTGTTGAAATGTGTGAAAGTTCTAACTATTTTCATTGGCCTAATCCATTTATGGCAGGAAAAATACGTGGGTGGGAGAAGGGATGCTTAATGAAGATGTGGGCAGGCTGGAAAAAGCTGATGAGTTCTTAATTATTTCAAACTGTAATCCTAGAGAAGCAGAAAAGATAGTTACTTCTGGACACCCCTCTGTTAGAGGGGATGACTACCTCATAGCTTTGCAACTTGGATTACACTAGCCTTCAAAATCATCTAGGCAACCAGAGCAGCAGTCTTTCAATGCCTGCAGCAAGTTTAACTTAGATGTTTGAATTAGTTTTCTTATTGAGGCAGTAACATAACATACTGCTGTGGGCTTAAAAAGTGTAAGAGGTGTGTAGGTAACAAATAACTGTAGTCTTGGGTATGTTTTTTTTTTTAACTAAACCTCCGATGTACTATAGGCAATCTATTTTTGTAATGTCCAGAGCTGAAACAGGACAACCTTCCGAGTAAAACTTTGCTTTGGTTTCTTAAAACAAACTTCCTTGGCTGTCATACGAGGAAAAATAATTCTAATTGCTTGCATCTCTTGCTCTTTTGTAGGCTCCTCAGTGGCTAGAAAGTGATTCCTGTCAGAAGTGTGAACAACCTTTCTTCTGGAATATAAAGCAAATGTGGGACACAAAAACGTTAGGGTTGAGGCAGGTGAGATTGTTGGTGTGTTTAGCTGTACTTCAGCACTTTAACAAAATGCAAACAGAAAACCACTAAAGCTCTTTCAAACTGTTGGTATTTTTGCTGCTTTGAAGTGAGGGTTTACTGAGAGGTCACAGTTTCTAGGCTGTGCTAAGAAATTGCCCAATTCTATGGGAAGTGTTGCATCACAGTTCTATCACAGGGCAAAGCAGGCTGTGCTGGGAGTGCTCTGTTGGGTTTCTCCGGATATTTCTATGCACTGGAGCTGTGGACAGCTAATCCTCCAGTGTTGTATAAGGTGGCACACAATGCCCCATAACCGAGCAGATCGCAGCCTACCATGTGGTAGGATGCTCAGGTCAGTGAAGCAGTGGTGGCCCTGCTCTGGCTCGGTTGGAATGGGAAAGCTTTCTCTTTGGAGGGACGGGAAGGGCACCAAGGCAGTCATCTGTTTCTGGCTTTCTTAGGCTGTTATTTCCGGTTGCTTGTTCAACCCTCTTTTTCTGCTGCTCCCAGAAGGAGCTTGCAAAAGGAGAAGAGGATGGACAGAAAATATGAGTGTAAACCCATTAATGGCCAAGAAGGCTGTTCAGAACTCCAGAGTCCTTGGTCTTGGCTTGAAAACTTCCAAACATGTTGCTTCCTAACAGGTTGCAAAACAGAAGCTTTGTTGTTGTTCAGTAAACATTTGATGAGGTGGTCAAGTACCCGCAACATCAGAAGGATATAGACTGGTTGGAGCGAGTCCAGAGGAGGCCACGGAGATGCTCCGAGGGCTGGAGCCTCTCTGCCATGGGGACAGGCTGAGAACGTTGGGTTGTTCAGCCTGGAGAAGAGAAGGCTCCGGGGAGACGTTATTGCCCCTTCCAGTACCTGAAGGGGCTACCAGGAAGCTGGGGGGGACTTTTTACAAGGGCCTGTAGTGACAGGCCAAGGGGTAATGGGTTTAAATTGAAAGTGGGAAGGTGTAGCTTGGGTATCGGGAAGGTCTTCCCGGAGAGGGTGGGGAGGCACTGGAACAGGTTGCCCAGAGGAGCTGTGGATGCCCCCTCCCTGGAAGTGTCCAAGGCCAGGCTGGATGAGGCTTGGAGCAACCTGGTCTAGTGGAAGGTGTCCCTGCCCATGGCAGGGGGGTTGGAACTGGATGATCTTTAAGGTCCCTTCCAACCCCAACCATGCTATGATTCTATAAATATAGTAATTTTTTTTTTCCTCCATGAAGCATCATTGCAGAAAATGTGGGCAAGCAGTATGTGGCAAGTGCAGTACCAAACGGTCAAGTTACCCAATCATGGGATTTGAGTTCCAGGTCCGTGTCTGTGATTCCTGTTTTGAGTCAATCAAGGATGAAGAGTGAGTATTAAGGAGTAATAAATCAAAGTAACACTGCTGAGGTGCAGAAACACTTGTGCTTGCTCCGCATCCCCACACAGTGCTACACAACCATGCCAAGCTGACGCTCTGCTAATAGGCTACCTTTGCCTTGGGCACTCAGAGCACTACAGTGGCAGAGATACCCCCAACCGGCTCTGCAAGCCGGCTTGAATCAACTGTGGCACTACAGCTTTTTTTGTCCACTCTATTTCTTCTTTTCCATCATCCCAGATCTAGAGTTGAAACATATTTGTCTCCAGATTTCTGTTTAGGTAAAGGCTATTGACTGCAATTTAAAGTTGCTAAATGGGTGGCTGACAGCACGTCACAGCCACCAGGATGCGTACGCAGTAGTTCATGTAGGCTTACTGAAAACTCTTCCTGTGGGAATGCACTTCACAGCCCATTTTTTTCCCCATACAAGCAGATTGGGTTAAACATCATCTGCTGTCTCATTAAACCCTTCTTAGAATCGATGAACACCCTTTTTATCTTGATGTGAACAGCACTCATTGTCTTTCATGTCCTTGGACACCTGGAGTGCTAAAGGACCAAAGTAATCAGATGCCAATTTTTGGGGTGTTTGGGGTTTATTTTGTTGCTGTTTGGTTGTTGTTTTTTTTTGGTTGGTGTGTTTTCGTTTGGTTGTTTTTTCTGAAAAGGGAGGTGCTGTTCCCTAGTTGACTCACCACAGCCAGCAGCAAAAACTGTAGCTGAGCTTGACTTATAACAGAAGTAGAATTATGTACTAATGCAGTGTCCCACTTCTCCTTTGGTATTATTAACAGTAAGGCTGCAGAAGGCCAGGAAATGTCACACCTCTGTAACTACACAAGCAATGCCTTAGCATGACTTGCTAATATAATTCTGCCCCCTTTAATAAGACACTGCAGTTCTCAGGACTGATTTATTAGTAGTTAAGCAACTTAATTTTCTTGTAAGATTACTTTGTGCTGCTATAATGGTGCCATCAAGCTTCATCTGATGGCTGGCTTTCACTGGAGTTGTTCTCTTGCAGCCGTACCTCCTTGGCAACCTTTCACGAAGGAAAACACAACATTTCACACATGTCTATGGACATCTCCAGAGGGCTAATGGTGACTTGTGGGAGTGACCGGATTGTGAAGGTATTCGTGTACCGTTTTCCTGCATTTGTGAGCAATATTTAATCGAGAACTAATGCTTGTATATACTTGTTTTTTCTCTCTGACAACTGTTGCTGCGAAGCTAACTGTTGTGAGCAGCAAGAATTGTTTGTTGCAAGCTGTTCTTCCTGCAGCTGAAAGAGGAAATGCCCGGTAGCTCCACGGTATGGATTCTAGCTGTCAGAACTGGTTACTGTTTGTGTCCTGTGGGCAGACAAAGCAGGCAGCAGCAGTAGGAGAATCTGCCAGCAGCCTTGACATGACATGATGCCATGACAAGACACATGAGACGTGCAGGCTTCTTTTACTCTGAGCTCTCTGGTTTCTTGGAGCATTGCCATGAAAAGCCCTAGTTAGGAGACAGTGACGTGGAAATCGGACTGACACAGAATCTTGCTTATACCAAACTGCACAGCCCTCTTTAAAACAGACCTACAGAGACCTGCTAGAAGACTCATGAGCCCTAAGTTTGGGTTTTGGTTTGTAATGCTGGCCTAACTCTTCATGACGTTTTCCTCAAGGGTAGTGTAAACAGGATTTGTTACCTTGTGTCCAGGGAGGTCTTCATGTTTGCTTCTATGCCTCTTAGAGCAATACCTCTTAGGGCTTATAATAATGCTGTGTAATTCTCCGCAATGTTTTCTTCCAGATCTGGGACATGACGCCAGTGGTCGGTTGCAGCCTTGCCACTGGCTTCTCTTCACGCTGATCTCGTACCTGACAGGTTTATGCACCTTATGTACAGCAATATGCACCGAATTGATGGAATCCTTCTTAAGAATATTGCCGCAAACACTGGCTGCTTGATTCTTCTCCTGCTGCTGTTCCGGGATGGACAGTCACCTTTGCAGAGCACGGCTGCCGTGTGGGGCTCACCAGGAATCTCCTTGGTGCCGAAGTCGGTTTTGCAGCCTCTCAGACTAACGTAAAATGGTTTACCTGCAATATGACACCGTGATGAAGGACCTGTTGTTTCTCAGTTTACATATGTAGTGTTAACAACGTGCTATCTCTGCTGGTATATCTTGTACAGATACCTTGTAGCTAAAACATTATCAGAGTAAAATGAGTGTAGTAAGTTCAATTTGTGCAAATAGTAAAATAATTTATTCTCTCTTCCAAAAACCAGTTCTGTAGAAATACTTTTGAGCAGTCACTGTCTAAACTGCCTCCAAAAGGTGTGTTGGTTATTCCTATGGAAAGAGGAGGTACTTCAAAGTGGCAGGGAGCTTCTTTCAGACAAGACAGTAAGAGAACCTTCGATCGCACAAGATTTCCTTTATTGGCTTTCTTGTAGTGCTTGTCTTCAAGTTCAGCTATTAGTGAAATGACTTCTGTGGGACAGCTGTTCTCTTTAGGTAGCTGGTGAGTCTTTGAACCGTTCTAGGCTCTTTAAGTAGTGTTCTAGCCTAGCTAATTAACTTCCTAGTCCTCACAGACACGTGCAGCGCAGCTACTCTGTTTAAAGGCAGGCTGTAGGGATGAGTCATGGACTGTGACAACGCTGTGATGCTGTTAGAATGGGAAGCGAAGTGAATCTGCCTTGTTAAATGTAATGGCTAAGAAAAAATGGCCAGCTAAATTGTAGAGACTTTTTCCTGTGGAAAGGCTGATGTTTCTTTAACGGTAGGGAACCTCTGTCTGCTGAAGTGCAGCATAAATTCAAATGGTGTTGCTTAACATGGAGAAATACTGAACAATAATTACTGAGGTACAGAACAGCTGCTTTCTTCCCCTTGCACCTAGGTCGGTTAGTCCTGAGGTGCCTACATCGATCCTTCCTGTCTGAAAGCTGAGCAGTATAAAGAGGAGCTGGGGGAGGCTTTTGTGACTGCGCGGTTGGCACGTACAGGAAACGACTAGTGAGATACTGTCAGTAAGTTGGCCGGTCAGTTGTGTGAGTCTCCTACATTGGAACACTGCAAGGAGAACTTATTTGGAAACTGTGGAAGCGAGGGTAGTATGTCACAGAGCTTAGGCTTGCGGCTGTTTAGACTTTTTTGAAAACACATACATATGTGTGAGGACAAAAAATGTGGGTAGGTCAGCTGGCCTGGAATGGGTGGTGTTGGACAACTATCAAAGGTAATGGGCTCTTTCTGGCAGAGGACTTAAGGGTTAGACTGTCTTTATTACAGCAACAATTAAGTGGTGCTATGAGTGTTAGTGAATTCGAGTCCTAGGTGTGTAACTTGACACTAATGGTCTGCTGTAGATTAATAACCACGTAATACCATGTAATAACCATGCTGTAAGCCCAAATAGATGAAGAGCGTGGTGTCATTAATACTTCGTGATTCACGTGCATTTTTAAGCCAAAAAGCAGGTAGTCTCCAAAGGGCATTAGAATCCAGAATACGTTAGTTACTGTTATTTTGGATTTGGCTTTGTCTACCTTTCCCTGGGCCTTCTCTGGAAGTTTTGCAAAGAGCCTTTTAATTTGCTAGGCTTATTGGTCCACTGATGAATAAACAAATCCCTCTTTTGTGGGAATCCCCAAACTTGTCTTGCCTTCTGCTGGGGATTTAGCACTTGTCACGCTGGTTTGATTCGTCCCTTGCTACATGCCGTATAGCTTACGTTTTTTGTTGAAGGCTTATTTCTAAGCCATTGAGAGAAAATCAGCTTGTACTAGAAAACCTTGTTGCAGGTTTTTTGTTGAAGGCTTATTTCTAAGCCATTGAGAGAAAATCAGCTTGTACTAGAAAAAAAGTTGCAGGTTTCTGCTCTGAAGGCCTTCACCCCTGTAAACTCGGAAGGGAACAGTGGTTGAAGGGGTGAGTAAGCCCTGATAATGCTCTGCATTCACTTTCAGCCTTCTTCCTCTGGAAAAGAATGGAAGCTGCCTTCCTCGCAGCGTGTAAGGCAGAACATGAGTTACATTGCTAGAATGGCTTAAGATTCTACTGTGCTGTGGTAAGGAGGATCTAGGGTCATGGGTTAGGCTGGGAGATTGATGTAGATGTGGGATGAAACGTGTTCTGAAACTTACACCAATGATACTGAGGTGTAACTGCTTGGCAGCCAGCAGTCCTGAGCTTCAGCTTTTTTAGTTTGATTAGTTAATGTGCCCCCTGCTCACATGTAGCTTCCCTGTGAATACTTCCTCTGCTTCTTGACAGCCACTTACCTTACGGTTTTGCCACTAAATAATATATTCTCTACTACATACTGTTAAACCTAAGGAATCTATTTTCTATAATTGATATACTTAAAGATAGTGTCAGTTCAGATCTAACGAGATGATTGTGGCTGCTAAATCATTAGTCATTTAAGTATACTCTTGGTGTTGACTGAGTAATGCTTACAAACCACTAAAGAGAGTGGGTTTTGTTCCTAAACACCTATTTTTGAAGGCACATACTCTCATGAAACAACAGATTTCAACTATGTCAGCTCAAGTGTGCAGTTGCTGAGAAGACTGGATTTGAAGCATTACTAATCTTGCTTGTATAACCTCCTTCATTGGGGCAGAGAAGGAGAGCAGAGGGTACTAATCGTGCAAATTCTTTACTAGCTGTATTTCTGTATCCAGCGTAGTTGAGAGACGCTTGATAAATCCGTCCCTTGCTCCTTCTTGTCTGTTTTTTAAACTTTGATTACATGTACAATAAAATATTTCTTGATATTCACTTAGCCTATTTGGGTGACCCATCTTTCCTTCCATTCTGTGAATGAACAACCCCCACTGGGTGCTCCGACTCCTCCTGTACGTGGCCCATGTCCAAATTCTAGACCGGAGGGAGAACTGGTCGGATGTTTTGTATTGGAGCTGAATGAGCTGCAGTAGTAGGGTTAAAGGCCCCCAGTGAGCTGAGAGACAGAGAACAGCTGCCTTGGGATGTGTAACTCTCCTGCTTGCCAGCTCGCATAGACCTTCCCTCTCGGGTCTGCTGAGGTTCTTGCTACACAGAGTGTCAGAGCACCAACCCCTTCCCTGAGATCCCTTCAACCTGTCTGAGGTGTTGGAGAAAAACGAATTTATGCTGGAAGGGGTGAGCAGAGTCTGCAGTACAGAGGGGACAGCTGCAGCCACAGGAGGTGGTTACGCTTGTCTCGTGAGCCTTTCTCATACAGAAAGGACGGGGACAAGCTGGGAAGCATCCACACCCCTCAGAGTTACTCCCAGCCTTCACTCAAAAGCAGCAGCTTTGTAACACCTGGAATTCCTGAGTGTTGGCCTGTCAACGTGCAGCTCCCAGGGTGTTAACCCTGCTCCCCAGGGTGTTCAGGAGCAGAAGGAATCCGAAAGGCTTGCACAAACTTTCCACCTCTGAAGAGTGGCAGAGCAGCCTAATGCTGTCATTTGGTTCTTGACGCGTCTCATTTTGATCAGCTTAAACTTCCCACCTTTCCCACGGCGAAGCACCCCGTTGTCTAGCTCCAACAAAAACTGCCTGGCAACACTGAAGGTGTTCCTGATGCGTAGTCCGAAAAGCCTGTCCAGACGCCTGTAAACCATCCTACAGAACATTATCGAGGCGTATGGACTCAAGTTTGAAATGCTTGGGAAATGGTGTCCTCGCAGTGAAAGCACTGAGATACGCGTGTTGGTTTTTGAGAGGAGGACGCAGAGCTCATCGCTTCTCACGCTCCTTACGTCGCAAACCTGGTGTAAGTTTCGGCGAAGCCGGGAGGCAGGTTTCAGCACTAGGGTTTTTTGGTGGCGTGCTGACTTGCCTCGCTGGAAAAGTTTGAACTGTGCTAGATGCAGGACAGGGACAGGTTGTGACGTTGATTTACTGCTACGTACCTCAGAGGGAAAGCTACAGCTCTTCGTCCCTGTAGCCAAAGTCCTCAGTTCCGAACGTCCTGGCGAACAGTGAAATACCATGACCAAACTGCAGAAAACGATGAACTTAGCCAGCTTAACGTTAAAAAACCCCTTTTGTCATCAACTAGCCATCCTTCAGTGAGTTGCAGCGTGGCCTTCGAAGGCTTTCTCTGCTTCTCATGGGTATAAGGCAAGCCTTCTCACCGCTCTCGAGTGGCTGCCACCAAGTGACCCCACGAGGGGTTTTGCCTCTCTGAAGAAGCAAAGGCATGGTTGCTGCGTAGCTGCGTGTGGTCTGCTGAACTCCAGTAAGAGCTAAGAGCTGAACAGTGTTACTGGTTGTAGCTCTTCGGCAGTGGAACAAAGTATCGAAATAATATCGGTGATAAAATCTATGAAATTCATTTTTTCAGAAGATTCTAAACCGTTTTCTCAAGTAATAAACTGAAATATGTGGGGTCATTAGAAACTTTGCTTTCTGCTTCTATAGCATGAGCCTTTTCCCCCCAGCACACAGGCAGCTCAGAGTTGCCGTAACTACTCACCCTCCAGCTCGCCTGTGTACCCGGGGCCCCTTGCTGGTTTTGCTGGGTAATCTCTGCTCACACAGAGAAGTTCAGCCATATTCTTTGGTTTATTCTATATGTGCTCTACTAATTTGGGTGGGGTTGAGTGGCTCGTCTGCAGAATATTTGGTACATTCACCCCTAAATCGCTCTTTGTCACAAATACAGTACAGGCTGCCTGACATCTCCCTGTTACAACTGGAATACTCAGGAAGTCCCGTCGACTCTGTTTCCAGAGGTGCCGCTGTGCTGTGGATCATGCTTTCCATGAGACACCCAGAGGCTTCGGTACCTCAGCATCTCTCCAACTCAAAACCAAGGTAAATTTAGGTGGAAATACAGGTTGACTGTAGGATTTCCCATCTGTATCTTTATACCTGGTCTTTCCGTTTTTCCTCTGAAATGCTTTGTATCACCCTGCTCTTCAGGAAACTGGCTTGCAATAACAAATGTTCTGGGGGTGCATGCTTTTCCCCCTTCACCTTGTTTATAGGGAAAAAAATAGGGTTTAACTGGCTCCTAGCTGCGCTCGTATAGCTGTTTTTCAAATAAGGAAGATTCCAGAACTCTCACTGTCTATCCTGATTTTTCTTTCTGAAGCCTGTTTTCCTTACGGTTTCAGCTGCTCTCAAAATCTGTATGCGTGTATCTGTCAAAGCTCTTCAGATTTTCATGAACTGAAGCGCACCCCTGTGCTGCTGATCGAGTGGGCACTGCTTGCTAACATTCCCTGATGGTGCTGCTAAGCCACAGCTGCTTTTCTGTTCTAGTCCTGTCCTGTGTC